TAAAAAGTAAAAAAAAAAATCATAATCTAACCAGTATTTGATTTACACTGGAATATAGTGAACATATCCAACGTTTACACTAAGAAAAAAATTGTGCCTAATAATAAAAACAAGGTAATTTTGCATTAATAGCAGCAGCACATCACCAAAAAATAAAAATAAAGCTTAAAAATGTTTTCACTTACCTGTAATTGTTTTAGCTAAATTGTTGGACTTGCACGGAAACAGGTTTGTAAACAGTTAAAAAATATCCATTTTTGATGTTAAATTTACAGAAGAGCATTAGGGCCACAGTTATTTATTTATTTCCTGGAATGTTATAGGAAAAAAGTAAAAATTCTGATATTAAAAACAGAATTTTATCTCAGACTGCACTGTAGGCCTAAGTCATCAACTTGTAAATGAACAAAAATCTCTTCAAAAATTAGCCTCATCATTCTAAAAAATATGAAATATAAAGTTTTCTTGAATGATAAATAAATTCTTAACTCATGATAATGACATTGTAAATTATTAATGACAATATGATTCAAGAACCTTTTTTAAATCACAAAAGTGTTTCCATATAAATAACTAAAGAAACTATGTAGATCTGCTAATCTGAAGTTCCAACAGGACTCTTGTTACCAGCTGTGTATTGCTTATTACATTTGTTCAGTTATGTATTAAGGGAAGTTGAATGTGTCACAGTCTGTGTTTGTTTTCTTGGTTTTTGTTCCCGTGTCTCTCTGCCCTACAGCCCCGCCCACGCTCACCTGTTTCCTCTTGTGTCTCCTCCAGGTGTTTCTCATTTGTCCTCATTAGCTTCCCTTTATATTTGGTGTCTTGTCGTCTGTGTCTGATCATTGTACTGTTTTCAGTTGCTGTGCACTCTAAAAATGAAATGTTGGATTTACTTAAATAAGTTATTTCAACAATTTACATTCAACTGAGTTAAGTGTGCACAATTTTCACATTTTCTTTAAACATAAATGTGAAAGTTGATGTACACTTACCTCAGTTGAGCAGAAATTGACAACTAGTAAATCCAACAATCTGTTTGAGTGTATATCCCTGCCACTGAGGAGACATAATGTTTGTGTTTTTACAGTGGTTAAACTGATTCAGAAAGTAAGAATTTGTTCAACATTTCTACTTTAATGAACCCAAACAGAGAGCTATTGCTTGTTCTCTAACAGAACGGTGTCTGTGTTCATGATTTAATTACAAAGGATTACAAATCTGTYTGCACTGTTTCCTTAACTGAGGGAAATGATTCTTACAAATAATTCCCACATCTGGCAGTGACCCTGAATGTAAGGTTTGTGCAAAAACCTACAAACACACAATGTTCTTATGTTATAAACACTTTTAATCTCATGCGGTTTAACAAAATGCTTAAAAATTTGTTTCATCTTTTTAAGAATAAAAAGCAGAACGTCTGAGCTCATGGATGCCGTTACTTTAAATAAATACTTCAAACAAACAGTTGTTCTAGTTTAAGTGACCAACAATYGTACTCCAGGCTGTACGTGGCTGCCTCTACACTTTCTTTTTTTCAGTTAAAGCTCTAAAGATTCAATCTGAAACCTGAACAGTTGCTGTTTGTGTTGTTGCCAATAGGACGCAAAGGTTTGATTGGAACTGAAACTGCAGGCACAGCAGGAAAACGAAGCTTGACTTGGTTTCATTTGCAGTTGTTGATAAAAGTATTTCATAGGCAAGAATGTGAGTGAGTGAATAATGAGGAGTCATTTATTCACACGTAATGAATTTGTCAAGATGTTGAAAAGAGGATCAGCAGCCAGCGTCAACCTGCTGCTCATATTTTCTACATCAAAGGCGCAAAAAGACTTTAAGTATTAAAACTGCATGAACAGCAGGGGCTTGTCTTTTTTGACGAAGCTCCTGGAGTGAAAACGTTCAAATTTACACAGCCTGATATTCCAATTAGCTGCTCCCTCCAGGCTTGCAGCAAAAACTTTCATTTGTGAAAGAAGCTTGCACTGGGTAAATGTTAGCTGCAAGCTAATAACACACAAAAAGAAAAGAGGAATCGATTTATTTTATTACCCAGCTTAACGTGTCATAAATAAGCCTTAAATGGTATTTTATTGAGTTGATAAAGCTCATTTCTGCACATTAAAATGTTATATACATAATTTTTATTCAGCCTTTAACAATGTTGTTTTAAAGGAGACATATTATGGTCTTAAATCCTACTTTTTCACATTTAAATCATTCAGTTGGGGTCTATATAAAGCCAAACCACAATGCTTTGGTCCGAATTCCTCCTTATTGTAACTCCACAAGCCCTGAAGTGTGTCTCAGATCAACTCGTTTATAGGCTGTCTCTTTAAATCCAGACAAGGTGCTAGACACCCCCCCCCCCTCCAGCTTCCAGACCAGTCTATTGTAGTTTGATGACTATATAGCGGTGCAGAAACTTCTTATTTGCAAATTAATAAAAATCTGTCAACAACATAAGACTTGTCCATCCAGTCTTATATGTGGAGCCAGAGTCTGACCTAGAACCAGAGCAGGATGAAAACATAAAGTTGACAAGACCTTATGGCACTTCCACTGCAAAAACTGTGACGTAATCGGTACGAAAATGTCAGAGAAAATATAAAAAACTGAATGGGTTAAGAAGAATAACCCAAACAGAATATAAAGATATTTATGCAGCACCAAGAGAGACTAAATTCAATTTTTTGCTCTCCTAGTCTACAAGTACAAAACAAAATGCATTTAGCAGTTAAAAAAAGTGGAATGTCCCCTTTAAGTTATTAGTGTAAACGTTTTCTTAACAAAGCTAAAAACCGTGGAAAATGCTCTCTCTCTCTCTCTCTCTCTCTCTCTCTCTCTCTCTCTCTCTCTCTCTTTGTTACATAAAACCACATTTTGTCTTGTCTGTAGATTGATGCAGTTCAGTAACAGTTTGAGCTGAAGAATTTTACAAACATTGATGAAAACCAGAGTTTGAAACCTCATGACTTGACTAGTTTTCCTGTTATAAAGCAAATCTAKAGGGATAGCTGTTTGTTCCAGAGGGGGCAGTTTTGTAAATATCCAGAATTGACTTAATATATATTTTTTTCTTTCTTCCTCTGAAGTTAAAATCATTCATCAACGGTTCTTCCTGGAATCCTTTTCCCAGAAACACGTGCATGAAAGACTCTTCATGGAAAACTGAGTCAGGCTTTTACAAATACTTGCCTTAAATGGCTTTAACTGTGAGTTCAGATGCAGGAAACAGACCACTTTCAATAAAACATGACTTAGAAGTAGCACAAAAAGAGCAAAAAAGGCATTTTCTTAAACAATTTTCTTATCACACATGCCGTCATTCTGCTGCTCTCCGACTCCCAAAACACAACTAATAAAAGGGATAATTTACCTCCAGGAGACAAACTACCCCTTGTAAAATGAACCCCTCATAAATACATGCTTGTTCACACACACACACACACACACACACACACACACACACACACACACACACACACACACACACACACACACACA